GGGGAGGGTATGTGCTATGGTGAGCGCTGTGAATTGTGTAAGACTGATGAATCACAGACCTGTACCTCTGAAACAAATAATACATTATACGTTAATAAAAAAAAATTTTTTTTAAAAGACAGGATTTCTTTATCATTTTTACCAAAAAAAAAAAGGAATACTGACCATATGTAAATTCCAAATAGCTTTAAGACTTAAGGCCATGACTCAAACACTCAAACAGCTAAATTAAAAAAACAAAAAAACAAAAAAAACCTAAGACTTTAAAAATTTAAGTAACTGGTGAACAAGGAATTGAAGGATGTGATGTAATGGTACACGATCTTACAAGCTATTACATTCATGGGCAGGATATAGCATTACTAGGCCATAAATTTTTTTTTAACTTCATATTCTTGCTTCTCAAGTTTTTTCAAACACATTAAAAAAACAAAAGATCTGACTACTCATTATTGTATGCCTTTAAAAAAGAGAAGAAAAAAGGAGTAATTTCTATTTTTAACATATACACATTAATGAAACAACTTGTGTTTGCAAAGTGTTGGCTGACCCATAAACTACATTTATCACCCATGAAGTCAGCATATCACAAAAGCCATATATATGTCTAAGCACCCCCAAAAGAATAACAAAGCAAGCAAGCTCTGGTAAAACTGTATAAAGCTGTCACAAGCATAGTGGCTGATTTCTAAACTTTAAAACCATAACCACATGCAACCTCCCTTTCCATCAAATTTAACTACAAGAGCTTGGGTAAAAAGATTTAAAAAAGTAAATAACAACAATAATAAATAAATGTAATCACCAAAATATTTTAGAATCTTTCCTTAGAAGAATCTATTTTAACCACAGAAACCTCACTCATTCCTAACTTGTTTCTCGCTAATATTCATCCATTCTGCCCAACCTTCAATTTATCAATAGAGAATTCATGCTACTCAAAAGAGCTGACATAATTATTGCCGCCATCCCATTGAGAATGCTCTTCCTGGTAACCAAACTCCAACATGACAGTTGGCCCCCGGACCACTCACTATTTACACCACCACCCTCTCCCCCCCTTCCCATCACCACCATTTTACTGACAGAACACTCACAAGGGTCTAGATTGTTTTTCATCTCAGCAAACAGAGTATTCAAAATCGGACGGCTAGCCACAAACTGGGAGTTAGAAACTACATAGAAATAAACACAAATGTGAATAAATTTTTCTGTTTTCAGTTTCTAAAGAAAGTAGTTAATGTCTTATTTGTAATGCTCTAAATTACAGCCAGGAGCCTTTCACCTAATTACACTAATAAATCGATTTAATGTCATCATTTTGCCATCAGATCACGTCCTCCAAACACTAGTGTACTTGAATTAAATAAATCCTTTTTACCAGGGTAAGTTCTTCACCTCATTTTTTTCCCCAGTGCTTTTCCTCTATCATTCCTCAACTACTAAATCATGTCTCCATAATATTTTCCTAAATATTAAATCTGTGAACAAAAAACATAACCTGAAAACTAGCCACAGGCGAGACAAATCAACACACCTTCAAAACAAAATATCAACATAAAGTATAAACTATTAGGTAACCAAGAGAAAGAAAGGTAAGCATCAACTGTATGCCCAAGAACCTCAATTTAAAACATTATGTAGTATACACAATTTTGGCAAACAGAAGTGAACACAGTATTTACATATCAAAATGGGCAACTATATAGCCTCATTTCTGGCTTGAGATAAAAATATCAATTCCATTTATTTAGTAAAATAGCCATTTTAAGGAAATACCTCCTTACAGGTATAATCATTTGACTGACAGATAAAATAATTGCTTTAAAAACACTTCTGAGTCATTTTGTGCTTACCTGCAGGCACGAACCATTACTGCATGCAGCGACTGTTCCATTCCCTAGCACAGACTTGAAGGAGCATATATCTCTCTTTCAGAATGTGACTAATCTGTGGGTTTGCAATTCCTGAGCTATTTACAAATGGCACTCCCTTTCCACGTAAGAAAATATTTATGACAACCAAAAGCCAAGTATTTTTAACCTAGATCTTACAAATAATGTTGGTAATTTTGTAGCAACAGCCTCAAAATACAGGAAGAAAATCTAATACCAATATTTCCTTAAAGAAAGCACAATTTTTGTTTTGCAGCTCAGTAAATTATTTTTTAAAGCCTTCAACAGCTGTCACACATGAACTAGCGCTCTGCTGGGCTACGGCGTGCGTGCTGCAGCTGATTCGGCTTCACTATTTTTTAAAAAATCAATTACCCTTTGTAAAAGCAGAACAGCCTGCCCAAAAACACATCTTCAATACAGCACAATGACCAGCATGCAGTACAATGCATTATACAGCAAACTTGGCAAGAAAAAAAATACGTCCTGGTTTGTTTCTTAGCAATGCTACACCATTAATTGTTCATGCAAGAGATGTAGCTGTACCTTTCTGAAGAGGACGACTTCTCAGAGTTAACTGACATCAGCAGCTCAATCTTCTGCTTGATTTCTGGAAAAATCAGAAAATATTCACAACCAAGATTGCCTGCCCTTGCTTTCAAGCTTTATATCAACAGATTTTTCCTCTCTGATCCCTTTTGTTCAAAAAGAGGCCACAAGATTCGCAGTACTTCTGTTAGGACTGGGATTCGATGGTGCTATAAAGGGAAAAAGCTCCAGAGGCACCAGGCCTTGCTAAACTATGCACATGACTGTTTATGAAAGCAGGAAGTACCATTTCTTTTAAGCAGAGGGGTGTTTTCTTTTTTAAGGTAGAACTAGCAGGGCTCTACCAGAAGATTTCAAATGCAGCAAATTAAAATACAAACAAGAAATGCTCACCACTGCATTTGATACCCTAGATCATCTGAGAAACCTGGGTAATAAAGGTATGAGCTGAAAGGAACAGATGTGCAACCCTTAGCTACCTGCATTTCACCAGCCCTAAAAAATATGGCTCAGTGAATCATTTTTGTCACTTAAGAATGAAATATTAAACCAGAACCCCAATTTATAGATTGAAATTTTTTTTTAACCTTTGTTATGATTTCTCCGTTGTCTCTAACTGAAGAATCTGTTTAATACCTAGTCCCTAACTCCTTTAGAAAAAGACTTCGATTTTACACCTTAATTCTCCCCTCCTCCTTCACAGTACAGCACAAGTGAACAGCAACACCCAGTTACCGAGCAGATAATATACTTGTCCTTTTAGGAAAGGACTGACAATGCCATCTGCAACAGAAATGGAAGCGCCAACTCAATTTAATTAAAAGAGAATTGCTGATACGTATTTGGGGGAAAAAAAAGATACCAGACTAAAAGGGAAGGAGAGGTAAAAAATAAAAGGGAGGGGGAAAAGGAAAAAAAACAACTCTAACACATTTCCTTTAAAAATACCAATGACTAACCTAAAAGCACGTAATTTTATGTGAATAAAACTGACATGGTCCCATTACCCAGACTATTTCACATGCAAAGCTGTTTTCCTATTCGTAAATGTGCTTTCTATGCATAATAAAAAGTTCACATAGCAAAAATAAAACACCTGGCCACTGAAATACTACTACAGGCAGTCTCAGGATTTCAAAGTAGACCTCAATAGTTTCAGGGTTGTTTTCTTAGGGGTAAAACAAATCTTAATTTTTAAGAATCTCGATTACAGAAATCAAAGGAATATGAAAAGATAGAAAAGGAAAAGGGAACAAAAATTAGTTGCCTAAAATACAGTGGACCTGTTCAGAAATAGCCTTTCAATGTTGTTAAAATAAGGGATTTTCCAAATTGTTTAAGCTCCCAACTTGATCCAACGGGCACTATATAAAACTGGCACAAACATCTGATGAGAGTACGGAATCTGCCACAGGCTAAGGCCAAACTACCTAACCACCGGGGAGAGCACACCGCACAGTGGTTAAATGGAGATGATGATAATGAAACTTACCTTGAGGACTCCTGCGTGGATTAACAGAATCTGGCACCAGGTGCCATAGTAAATGCTCAGTAACACCCCTCCCGCAGGTTTCAAAAGAGCGCAGTGTTTAGGAGCTCACGCTTGGCCGCCCACAGCCATGGGTTTGAAGGCAGGCTCCTCTAACATTTTTAATAGCCACGTGACCTTTGGGAAATTGGACTTTCTAAAAGCCTCTATCTCCTCTCCTATAAAATGGGGATAATAATGGCTCGTAAAGGGCCATTGTGATGATTAACGAAATACAGTATTCCATGACAGTCATGCAGATGTAGGGTTCGTGCCCACTAGTCAGCCCTCCGTGTCTACTGCTAGGGAGTGCCTAGCAAAGGACAGTGATCCTCAACAAATATTTGCCGAATTAATTAATGAGGTACAGTAGGTCTGTCCTATCTTAAACAGCTTTTCCAGTTTTGATCCACCTTCTAACTCTTACTACACCAAGCTCAACATATACCTTTTTATCACTATAGTTTGATTATATATGGAAGTTTAATTTTAATCTGTATCTCGGCCTCCCCATCTAGAGAGTTATTCTCAAGTTTATCAACTAGCCAAGTCAGAAATGAGGTTACACTTGAATCCTTCATTGTGGTAATTGTTCATTTCAAAAAGACAAAAAATTCGCACTTCGGTGTATAGATTATCTGTGCACGTAAGCTGAAAGACCCCAAGTTTAAGGGCGCCTGGGTGGCTCAGTCAGTTGAGCGTCTGACTCTTGGTTTCAAGTTGGGCTGGGTCATGGTCTCAGGGTTGTGCGATCAAACCCAGTGTCAGGCTCTGTGCTCAGCGCTTGTCCCTCTCCCTCCCCCTCACATTATCTCTCTCTCTCTCTCTCTCTCTAATAAATAAAATCTTAAAAAAAAAACAAAAAACCCAAGTTTAAACTGCACAGCTCTTAGGAAGTGTATAAACATTAGAAACGAAAAGTTAAAGCTTTGAGAGCTCCAAACCAAAATGGTGTCCAATAATACATGGACAGGTTTCTACCATCATTTTCACATTTTCTTCAAACCCTCAGATTTGTTTCTAGCTCCCGAAGGACCAAAACGTTTAGGAATGTTCATAAATACTACGTTAATATTGTATACTCTGAGGCCCGTGTATCCCATCTATTCTACTACCCACTCCTCCTTACCAATACCAGCCACGGTCTGATTACTCCCCACATTCATTAAGAACTCTAGAAGCCATTCCACCACAATCCCTGCCATGTGATGTTCACATTGACAGATAGGAATTCCAAAAACCCTTGGCTAAGGACCTCAGCCTCCTGAACCTCTGATCACTTGAGTCCTCTACCATGACCACACTTAGGATGCTCTCTTACACACACTACAAATCAGCTGGTTGTTCTTCTGTTTCATTCACAGTATGTAGGACCCTATACTTTATTTCATTTTTTGCAATTAAGTCCACCAATCTTTTCCTTAATGAATGATGGTCTTCCTGTTATATTTAGACTTTCCCCACACCAAATTTTTTAAATCACCCCATTTTCTTCTAATACACTTTATAATTTTATTTAGCATGTAAATCTTGGACCCTTTTAGATGGTATTTCAGTCTATGAATTGATGTAGAGATCCAGTCTGCTTTTATAGTTATATTTGAAAACCTTATGCCCCCCACCCCCACAATTCTAAATTACTCTCTTCACCACCACTCCTCAGTTCTTCCAAAGCAGCAATCTTACAACCCCATAAATACATATTTATTCAACCATCCACAGTCTCCATTTATTCATTCAGGCCAGTGAGTACTAAGGCTACACTTCTTTATTTCACAAAGAAAACGAACAAGTGGTTCCTATGTAGTTGGAATAAGCGTATTCAAAATTATGGTTGATATTTTTTGTCATAATTTTGTTTTAATTTCTAAGTAACATTATGGGACAACAAAAGTTTCTTGTTTTTCTAATCCTTTTGTGTTCTTATGATTCTCCTCCTAACTCTACGTGCTTTGCTGTATCATCTTTTTTCACTCAGACCTTACATGTTAGTCATACTTCTCTTGTATGACCCTCTTTTCATTCACTGACTCTTCCATCTATTCCCTTGACATCCACAACTAAAGGACACTGATGATGACTAAACATGAATTTCGAGCCCAATATTCTCTCCTGCAACCCAGAACTGTATGTCCTTCCACCCCCAGCAGACATCTTCGCCTATGTACATGGTCCTGACATGCCTTGAATGCAGCATCTAAGGCTGATGACCTCATCAACTTCTCAGTCCAGGGTCTCCCTGAACAGCAGCAGCGTTGCCCTTCTGAGCCAGGAATTTCTGAAGGATCCCAGACCAGCATCCCTGTCTCATCTGGAGTATCATTACCACCACTCACCCTTTTCAATCTATTTTATGTTCTAGGACCACTGAGCGCTACTCTGCACTTCCCCAAACACACCATGCTTTCTCACACCGCCAAGTCTTTTCTTACGCAGTTTCCTTCCCTGGGATGCCAGTGCCCAGTTTGCTTCCCTTGCACACCCAACTCCCCTTTCTAATCTCAGCCCAAGCGCTACCTCCCCTCTGACAGCGTCCCAGACAGAATACACTTCACCTCCTCTGCCCCTCTGCAGATCACATACACTTGCACTAGAGAATTACTAAAATACATACACTACTTGTCTGACACCCCTGAGACCACAACTTCCTTAGGGAAATTCACTTCAATTCACTTTTCACTTCAATTCACACTTATTGAGTCTGATGGTTTTCTTAGCCTATTCTAGTCAAAGTTACAATCTACCTAACTTAGTTTCCTTATTCTTAAATATACATTTCCAGATACAGTACCTCTGACTAGAGGTTCAAACAACTGCAGAGTTAGAAGAATCCTCAGAGGTCATCACCTAGCTGAACCATCTGAATTTATGAAGAAGAAATTGGAGAGTTAAAAGATAAACAACTGGTAGCAAGAA